GAATTTACAAACTACAATGCATGCACACATACAAACATGAAAAGGCAAGTCAACAAAATGACTCTAAAAACTCTCAACTGGGTGGTCCCAGGAAGATGGCAGAGTGGTAAACAGCCTAAGATTTGAAATCCAGATAGTGGAACATAACAACTTGGGGGAAAAAAGAGGGAGGTGAATCCCCATGACCCAGAAAAGATCTGAAGGTAAAATCAGAGCCCTCAGGCAAGTAAACAAAGACCTTAACGCAGAAAAAGGACATGGTGTTTTTTTCCAACTCCTTTCTCACTGCATGAGAGAGCAGGCCCAAATATATGAAGACACAGTGAGGGCACAAAGACACTCTCTGGTGATTCCAGAGGCTACATGAGAGAAGTATACCACTAGGGCAGAGCAGAGGACGCCATGAGGAACACCCAGGGAGTGACTTCAGTACAAGCATCTGCCCTGTCCCTTGTCTAGGGTGCTTGGCCAGATGCCATTTTAGGAGGGGCCAACTGAACCTAGGAGCAGCCTTGGGTTAGCTTTTCTCAGGGTTTCCAGTGACTGGGTGAGGGACAACCATAAGAGACGTCAAAGGTTACAGATCTGAGGCCAAGACAGCAAGGGACAGCTAGAGTGTTGTAGGTTGAACTAATAAGGCCCCAACCCCACAACCAGAGGAAAGGATCAGCCTGAACTTTTATGGAACTGAAAGCACCAGAATCAGCATTCTGCTCTAATCCCAGTGCAGCCTTGCTGAGATCAAGCAGTACACATCTGGGCTCTGTTTGCCTCCTTTGTCTACCAAGGACAGCAAAGACACCCTAAATTGGACACTACCACAAAATTGTACAGCCCTCAGGCTGAAAAGCACAGAAAAACCTTTTTCTTTTCTCTTTTCTTTTTGGTTTTCTCCTGAGTGTGAAAATTATTCTTAGTTTTTGTTTTCTTTAGTTCTTATTTTGGTTTGTTCCTCCTTTCTTTTCCTATCATCTCTGCACTAGTTTTCCAAAGGTTGGGTATTCTTTCCTTTGTGCTTCACCTTTGCTTCTAATATTTCTCTTCTTTTACTTCTCTATTTTTTCCTCTTATCCCTTTTAAATTTTCTCCCCTGAGAAAGTTTTTCTGCTCTATTACATACTGTATATAATTTCTGATTTGTTTTACATTTTAGATAGCACAAGATGATTCTTCCAGCTCTCATATTTAATTATCTGCCTGATAATCTGTATTTTCTGTTTAACAGCAGTCTACCTATATATTATTAGCAATTATAACCTATTAGGTGCATATATAATATCTACCTATTTTTAAATTGTGTTACTTGGAATCACAATATTTTAATTTGGAAAATATCAAACCTACCCAGGCATAGCGGCACATGCCTGCAATCCCAGCACTTGGGAGGCTGAAGCAGGAGGATCACTGTGAGTTTGAGGCCAGCCTGGGCTACAAAGTGAGTTCATGGCCAACCTAAACTGCAGTGAAACCTTGTCTCAAAAAGAAAAAAGAGATTTGACCCAGGCCTGGTGTGTGAGTGGGACTGCCCAAGGCCTGCCGGATCCTCATTCGACCCAGAACCTAGGCCTGGCTTGTGAGTGGAACTTCATCCATCAGATAGGCCCAGTGTAGAATCCTGGGGCAGAACTCCTTGCAGAGAGACTAGAGACAAGACCCACCCAGCTATTCCGGGAGCAGAACATCTTGAGAGAGTGGCATAGCTGGTTCATATCCATGGGCTGCAGCAGGAAGAAGTGGAGCCCAGCAGTCAGACTCAAGACACACCCACCTGGACGACTTTGAACTTGGTAGGTCTGGACTGGGTGCTAAGTTAATAATGCTACCAAAGCTCTACAGCAAAGGTCAGAAATAGTACTATACAAAATGACAGAAAGAAGGAGCAAAATGTATTCTCAGGCCCACCCACAACAAATGCAGCAGACAATATCATAAAAGAAACCGGAAATCACACAACTGAAATCTCTGAAATAATAGTGTCTGAAGTAAAGAAACAACTGCAGAAAGGTATAGAGGAAATCAGATCAGAAATAATTTCTGAAGTAAAAAAAGAAATGATAACTACAATGAAAGAAATACTAAGTGCTTCTAAAGAAGACACTGATTAAAAATAGAGCAGAATATAACAATGATGGAATCCTTGAATAAGCAATATAGGAAAGAAATAGAATGCATGAAGCAAATTCAAAGTGCTTTACAGGAAATTTTAAACCTCAATCACAAGCTGGCAAAACCATTTGAATGAAAATGAAAATAGACTTTCAGACCTTGAAGACACCATTGCAGTTAGTGAAAAGGTAAGAAAAGATCTCTTGAAAACAACTAGGATGTAGGAAAAAATAATTCAACATCTGCAAGATGATGCAAAATGAACAACATTAAGACTAACAGGCATCAATGAGAAAGGAGTCAACACAAATAATATAAAGATAATATGGACAGAACAGCAGAAAACCCGCCAAATAGGAAAACAATCTGACATTCAGCTAATCGAAGCATAGAGAACTCCAAATGACATAAACTCAATTAAGAACACACCAGACATATAATAATCAAGGTCCCAGAATACAGCACAGGATCAGTATACTAAAAGCCGTTAGAGAAAAGAAACAGATCACATTTAAAGGAAACCCATCAGAATAACGGCAGAGTTCTCTTCACAAACCATAAAGTCAAGAAGAGCATGGAGCAAAGTACTTCAAGTCTTGCAGGAAAACAAATTCCAACCCAGACTTATATACCCTTCAAAACTCTCTTTCAAGTATAATGAAGAAGTGAAATACTTCCATAACAAAGAACAACTAAAGAATTCATGACGACAAAGCCAACCCTACCCAGACTACTAAAAGATATTTTAATAGTGATCAAAATGACCACAACTGGGTGTGTAGCTCAGGGGTAGAGCATTTGACTGAAAAATGACCACAACTTTATGAATGAGAACCAAATAGGGCTAACAAACACAGGAGAAAAAGAGATATACAACAGCAGTCTTTCAATTATTCTTTAGTATACAGCAGCAAAATATTTTCATCAGTGTACTCTACAAAAGGACTTCTGCACTCTATGTGTCATGATTCTGTCTGGATCTACAGGGTGAATATCAAGGAAATAGCCGTAGCTCAGTCCCACAACTGACACTTGGCCAGCAGTAAGTGTCATGGACACTGTCCAGTTCCATGACATATTAGAACTTTGTATGATAGCCTATCCCCAAACTATTAGAAGTGCTAGAGCCAGGGAGATAGCTCAATAGAATTAAGTGCTTGCCTGGCAAGCGCAAGGGTCTGAGTTCAATCCTCGGTTCCACCAAAAAAGAACAACAACAAAACACTGTTAGAAGTGCTGGTCATATATTTGCCATTCTGGTATTTATGTTATGTTTTATTCTTACTAATTCTTTACTATCATGAAAACTTTTTCTTAGTTGATATTTTTGTATATATTAACCTATTCAAACACTATGTGAGTACTCTGAACTAATATATTTTCTCCTAGTATTAGAAACTTTAAAAAGTAAAACTTCCATTTTCTGTTGACTTCATATTACTTTTTGTCTTTTACACACACACATAAAAAAATATGTATATAACCTGACATAAGATTGATACTGTTTTGTGGAAATCTTCAGTGACCTTTTAAATGGGTTCATCTAATATAACTATATTTTGCATAGTCCTGCATAACTACCATTTTGAGAGCTCTTTATTCTTTATCCAGGACCATACAGCAACTTCTCTTGCCTTCTGGATTATGGTCTTTGTTATTTTCTATATCCTATGTTTGGAGGTATTAGAATATTTCAAGATTGTATAACTAGAAAATATTTTAGTTTTCAAAGGTATGTTTGCTAAGTTAAAATTCAATGAGGACTTATTTTTTTCAGTCCTTTGAATTAATTAGTTTCTTACCCCCTTGCTCTTTTTTTCTCCCTACTGTAGAATAAGATGCTATTTAATTTTGTTTTTTCCATATCTAATATTTTTTTATGTATATGCTTTAATGATTTTTTTCTTTACAATTAGTTTTGGACAATTTAATTATTGTATATTTTGGTATGATTTTATTCATATTTCCTGTGCAAAAGATTCATTTTTCTTGGACATGTGGTGCAATAATTTCGACTAAATACAGAAATTTTAAATTTTAAATATTTATCGCCTACCCCTTTCTATTTTGAGAATTCTAATTATATGAATATAAGTTTCTTGATTTTGGCACAAAGTGAACTATATTATACGACTGACCTATAAATTCTTTCTTCTTCATTTTTATTTTATTTTTTTTTCAAAATTTTATTGATAAACAGCAATGAGACAGTTTCAAATCAAATCGGAAGTACAGTTTCAACAAATAAAAAACTGCATATATTCTTCTTAGTGGTTAATTGCTGTACAAGATGCGGACTTG